ATATACTGTTTTTACATAACTATAGGTTATAGAAAAATAAATTTTAAAATACTTAAAATGCTGAGACTCAGGTAGCAAAGTGCCTGCCTTGCATGTATGAGTCCTTAGATTAGACCTCTAACACCACTTTTTTACAAAGGTGAAAAGATTTCTTTCCTATGGACAGTGGCTTCTAAAGGGAATGTATCAAAATGCTTTCTGTATACGTTTCATGCATTTGTATGTATGCCATGAAAAGACAGATGCTTTTAGCTCCAGGTTGAGCAGCTGTGGAGGGTATAACTAAAATTACAAGGTCTAGATTTAGATTTTTATGGTTCTTGTGTGACTTTAGCAAAGTTGCCAGATGTTCTAAGTCTTGGTTTCTCATCTACACAGTACAGATACTAACAATGTCCATGGCCTAGGTTTGTGATAAGAGTCACAGATTTTGTCCGTGTAAAATACATAGCTCTTTTGTGTATAATTAAATAAGTGATGCTAATAATGCTGCAGATGCTAATAATGCTGCCGATGCTAATACTACTTTGAATCATTCATAAACTATCTATCACTTTAAAGAGGCTTATATACTACCCACATCCAGAGACCCTGCTGTGAGGATTAGGCCTTACATTTGAAAATGGCAGTAAGAAATGAATGAAGGAACAAGTGTCTGTGTCTGTGTAGCTGAAGACGCTCACTGCATGAAAATCTCTGTGGCACTAAAGGAAGGAAGGTCACAGTTTGGTGGGCTCAATAGAGACCAAGTTGAAAGGAAAAAGAACTCACAAATGTAAGGAAGGGGATAATGAACAAAATAAAAGGTACCATTTCCTTTATTGGAAAAGAACCATGAATGATGGATGGGAAAAATAAGGAAATAAATGGTTATGGATACTACAAGACTTTCATTGGAATTGTGTCAGTTTGAATGATACTAGAGGCTGTCATATGCAAATGCTGAGACACATGTGACGTCACACAAATAAAGTATTTTCTGTTCATGTTGCAGGACAATGCAGTGGTTTCTGGTCAAGCTTCTCTCTCTCTCTCTCTCTCTCTCTCTCTCTCTCTCTCTCTCTCTCTCTCTCTCTCCTTATAGATCTTCCATGCAGAGCCTATAGACCACCTTGAAGGATGTCTACTCCAATCAACCTGGAATATTGGGGCTGATAGGCTCCTTCAGGACCCAGACCTACAAGCACTTACCATTTGTCAGATTGTTCGCACCTAATCTTACAGCTTCATCCATAGTTATCTGTAGCTAGAGTTTTCCTGCCTGGCCCACAGTCAGGACAAATCTCTGTCACCCGCCAGTCCCACAGCCGCTCAGACCCAACCAAGTAAACACAGAGACTTATATTGCTTACAAACTGTATGGCCATGGCAGGCTTCTTGATAACTGTTCTTATAGCTTAAATTAGTCCATTTCTATAAATCTATACCTTGCCACAGTGGCTTGTGGCTTACCGGCATCTTCACATGCGGCTTGTCCTGGCAGCGGCTGGCAGTGACTCCTTCTGCCTTCCTGTTCTTTCTTTTCTCCTCTCTGTTAGTCCTGCCTATACTTCCTGCCTGGCCACTGGCCAATCAGTGTTTTATTTATTGACCAATCAGAGCAATTTGACACAGAGACCATCCCACAGCAGTTATCTGTATGCAGAAGAGAAAAGATATGGGTTTTGGAAGCACAACATAGCCTCTGCCTCAGGGACTGCTATACAAAGTGACTATACTTGTTTTTCTTAATGCAAACCACTACAAATTCATAATTCACCTAGGAACAAGAGAAAATGGAATTGTATCTGGAAATCTGGGGATAATTGGACTTGCTCATAACTACAGATTATGACATGTGGGTTAACTTTAAAGCAAATAAAAATCCATCTTCTTCAGCAAGCCTTTTCATGATAGATTTGCAATAATAATAACCAGTGCTGGGTTCTTAATTTCTATGAGGAGCCATGCTGCAAGACTGCTGCACACTGCCCAGCTTATCTAGGCTATTAAACTGAATGAGGAATTGAGATAGTCCCAGGACTGGGAGGCTGAGGAAGGGGGGGCATTATGAGTTCAAGACACTGTCTCAAAGAGCCAAGCTCCTACACTTCAAGAAAGGCCTCAGCTGCCTACTGTCATAGAGACAGGAAGAGAAAGAGCAAAGACTCAGACATGGGTTTGATTCCCAAAGCCATCAGAATCTATGGCTTCCATTGGTTTCTTTTCAACTCAGAGCTTCTTCATAAACTTATTTGAAATGGTGTAGTGTGTATTGCTAAAAATTTTGGTATGTGTATTAATTCATAAGATATAATCTTTTGTGTAACAAACCTCAAAGTCAGAGCTTAAGACAAAAATAACTTTTCATTTCTTAAGTCTATAGGGTGGATGGGTGGCATTCTATTCTGATCACTATTATCTCATATCTCTCATGGAGTGTTTAGCAGGATAAAGAAGGCCTCTCTTAGACCCTAAAGGCT